AAGAGTTTTATTTCTTATGAAAGCATTTTGGGGGGGGGGCAAACGCTTGCTTTGGTACAGCCACACAACAGGTACGCTTATGGTTTCAGTTGCGGGAAAGGCCCGCCAGTCCGCCGGCGGCCAAAGGAAGCGATCCAGAACCTGTCTGTCGCTTGCCTTGCTTCCGAAGCCACCTACCTCCGGAACCCACGGGCCTGGAGGAACTGCTTGCAGGGCTTAGACAGCGGCCACACCGCCATCAGGGGATTATGGGTCCTGGTTGAGGAAATGGCGAATGGAAGAAGAAGCCGGCGGGGCACGGGGGTTTTGCTACTTCTCCTGCTGCTGCTGCTGCTGAGGTGGTGCCCCACTGACAGTGCTGACCTCAGACAAGGTGGCGAGGTAGTTCTGGGAACCTCGGCTGGTCACTGAAGACGAGAAGGTGAGGCTGGACCCTGGAAATGCAAAAAGAAAAGGGGGGGAGGGAGGGAGACCGTTGTATTAAGAATGCCCGCCTGTATCTTCAAACGTTGCTCAAGCCCAGAGTCAAAGCGAGATGGCAGCGGTGAACGTCAGAGTGCCACGAAGGTGGGAATGAGACACACTCGATCCAAGGGGCCCGATCCACTAGAAGATTTTCCCCGCGCAATCCCTCCTCTAGCTCAGCTCCTGCACGTTCTAACGGGGACTGTGCAGGAGAATGTCACGGTGGGTCGATTCAGCTAGCGTTAGACGTTCCGGAAGGCACGGCAGTGCCTTAAGAGAACCTCAAGGGCTGACTCTAGAGTAGACATAGGAAGGGGCTCCGAGAGGGTGATCCTGGGCCAGAAAGCGCTTCAGCAGAGGGGGGAACCTTGCCTAGAAACCGCGCCTGCACTTGTTGCCGTTCTCCACCACACCACGGCCAAGGTGTTCGCAGACGGGTGCAGCTACAGCTCAAAACGCAGACGGGGCATGTCTCTGGGGGAAGGGTCCCAACACGTGTCACTCCAGACCTTGACATGGAGACCTGTGATCAGAGGGATCCAGAGCGAGTGCGCTTCAGACGCACAGTCTCCTTAAAATCTTAACACTCCGTCCCTCTCGTTGGGCAGGTATCGCTACGCTCAGTCGCTCGCTCGCTTCGCTGGCGAGGTTTGCACTGGAGAGATGGTGACGGAAACAGGAAGAACGCTTGGGTCACCTCCCAGCCGGGGATGCGACTCCAGACTAGTTCTCAGCACGGACATGAGCTCCGGGAAGCTGAGGGGCAGGCAGTGAGCTAGACGGACCCAGAACGAGGCTGCGACCGCCCTACACCTCCGGGATCAGACGGCAAAACCCCGAGCCTTGACAAGGGCTGACCCCTCTGGAGGCAGCAGACCAAAGGGCCCGTCGAGTCCAGAGGGCCAAAGAACAGGGCAGAGAGACCAAGGCCTTCCCCTGGCTAGCCTGTCACCAGTGTGTCCCTCTAAGCTGAGTCAGTGTGAGCCAGCTCACAGTTCTGGCTCACAGATTTTCGTCTCCGCTCAGGAAGGAGGGCTCCATCCAGAGAAAATTAATTTATGCGGCGGCTGAGCCGTTCGCTCGCAGCTTTAATGCCGGTAGCTCACAAAGCAGAATTTTTGCTCACAAGACTCCGCCGCTTAGCGGGAGCGTTGCCTGTCCACCCCACCCCAGCCCCCACTGCTAGTTGTATCTTTGGGGCTAACGGCCACTCACCGGTCCGCAAAACCACTGCTTCCTCGAACCTCCTGACAACTCTGGACCAGAGGGCCCGGACCCTGGGGCCCAAGATGTAGATCGCCATGTACAGGAAGACCATACCGACCACAGAGCTCATGGAGACCTCCAGAGACAAAGAAAGGACACATCTCTCTCTCTCTCTCTTTCTCTCTCTCTCTCTCTCTCTCTGTGTGTGTTTTTAAATGACTTGTTAACAGTTCCACAAAAGGCAGTCCAGGTACTTGGAACTCCTCGGCTCAGATCAGCATCTGAGACATCGATCCTTTCTGCACTTGGATCTCATCCCTGGTTTTATCGGAGTTCAACTCGTTAAGACAAGACCTTGCATTTACCCCTGGTTAGAACAGCATCCGCTTATCCCGGGGCAAGTGTGGGGCGAAACTGGGGTGACCTCAGTGTAATGTGGAAACAAAAAATTTCCCGAGATAATTACAGGGGTGAACTGGAGTGTGGTGCAGAATGTAAGTTTGGAGACAGGGTTGAACCAAAATTTAAGGTCTAGTGCGGAATCACCCCTTGTTTCCGAGGAAACCCTTTGGTGAAGGGGGGAGGGAAATGGGCAGGGGGCCTTGAAGGGGCCGATGGAGCAGTGTCACTGAAGAAGAAGGAGAGGAGGAGGTTGGATTTATACCCCGCCCTTCACTACCCAAAGGGGTCTCAAAGCAGCTTATAAACTCCTTTCCCTTCCCCCTCCCCACAACAGACACACTGTGAGGAAGGCGGGGCTGAGAGAGCTCTTTCCAGAACTGTCCTTGAGAGAACAGCTCTGACAGAACTGTGGCTTGCCCAAGGTCATCCGGCAGCTGCAAGTGGAGGAGTGGGGGAATCAAACCCGGTTCTCCCAGACTAGACTCCACGCACTTAACCACTGCACCAAACTGGCTCTCAGAGAAAGCCCAAGGGCCCCGTTCCACAGAATTCTCAACACCCTTACTGAACTACATTTCCCAGGATTCTTTGGAGGGAACTCCAACTGTTTGCAGGTGTGTGGCCTGTTGCAGGTGTGTGGCCAGAAGGGCACCAGCTGGGATGAGGTTGGTTACTGGGGGGCCAGAGCTGTTAAGCTGGGGGAAGGTGTGCCTTTGGGTTGGTGAGGGGTAGAGAATGGGGCGAGCGACCAGGACTCGGCCCAGGGACTCCAGGTGACGGGCCCATGTTAGGGGGAGTTTTAAGAGCAGCTGTGGAGAGGAGTTCGGCGGTCAAAGAAGGGGGTCGGAGCATGTGCCCCATCTCTGCGGGAGGCGTGCCGTGAGCCTGGGGAAGGGAGCAACTAAAGGTGGTCGGGAAAAGGGAGTGAGAGAAGTGCCCCGAAAAACCCTTGTATGATACTGAGGGAATAACGGTTTGTTGAAGCAACTCTTCTCTCGCCTGGGTGTCTAACGGGAGGGGGTGGGGAGGATGGAGAGCTGCCCTTGGCCAAGCCAGTTTGGTGTGGTGGTTAAGTGCGCGGATTCTAATCAGGGAGGACCAGGTTTGCTTCCCCACTCCTCCACTTGCACCTGGCTGGATGACCTTGGGCAAGCCGTAGTTCTGACAAGAGCTGTTCTTGAGCGGTTTCTGTCAAGAGCTCTCTCAGCCTCACCTACCTCAAAGGGTGTCTGTTGTGGGGAGGGGAAGGGAAAGGAGTTTGTAAGCCGCTCTGAGAAACCTTTGGGCAGTGAAGGGCGGGGTATAAATCCAATCTCTTCTCTTCTTCTTCTCACTCAGCTGCACCTAGCTCACAGGCAGTGTTCCCTCTAAGCTGAGTCAGGTTTGGTTCCCCACTGCTCCACTTGCAGCTGCTGGTGTGACCTTGGGTCAGTCACAAGTTCTCTCAGAGCTGTTCTCTCAAGGGCAGTCCTCAAAAGAGCTCTCTCAGCCCTGCCTACCTCACAGAGTGTCTGTCATAGGGAGGGGAAGGGAAAGGAGTTTGTAAGTCGCTCTGAGACACCATTGGGTAGTGAAGGGCGGGGTATAAATCCAATCTCTTCTTCTTCTTCCTGAAGCCACTGATGCTCACCCTGCAAACAGGGCACAGGAGCGCAGAGCAGGAGCCGCATGTGACACACCCCTTTACTGCCAGCCCCCCCCCCCAAGTGCTGTTTCCACCAGAGGAATCAGTGCGCAGACCGGGCTTTGCAGAACGGAAAACACAGCTGCACTTACTTGTAACTGTTGTTCGTTAAGTGTCTTCTGTGCAAGCACACGTGGGACTGCGCACAGGCAGGCCCGTGTGGGACTGCATAGTAGACCACAACCATGAAAAAGGCCCTTTTCGGGGTGGCAAGAAAGGCCATTCACGCACGCAAGTCACCACCACTCACCAAGTGGCAGATGCGCGCATGCAAGTTGCCACTGATCAGAAGGACAGGGTGTTGATCAACAAATAAGGGGAGGCTGTGGCTCAGTGGTAGAGCCTCTGCTTGGCACACAGAAGGTCCCAGGTTCAATCCCCGGCATCTCCAGTTAAAAAGTATCGGGTAAGAGGTGATGTGAAAGACCTCCGCCTGACACCCTGGAGAGCAACTGCTAGTCTGAGTAGACAAGATCGACCTCGATGGACCAGTGTCTGATTCAATATAGGGCAGCTTCATGTGTTCAAATGAACCTCTGCGGTACTTGCAAGGCTGGTGTGGATTCCAGTCCAGAAGAAAGACGGACCTCGGGGTGGCTGGCCAAGGCCGGACTGGGGTGGTGGAAGAAAAATGCCCCTTCAGAATCAACCTCATAAGAGCAGAGGTGGGGCAGCGGTGCTCCTATGGGCTCAGCCTGGAGTTATGGGCAGCGGGAGACTAAGACGGTAGGGTGGGACGTACCGTTTCAGAGGGCAAGCACCCCTGGAGAGAGAGACACTGTTTTTCTAACGTTATCTCCCACCCAGCGGCTCCCTTCAAGTAGAAAATCAACACACCAGGGGGAAATGCTGGACTGGAACCCATCTCCCTAATGCACTTGTATTAAAGCAGCAGTAAGAACAACAAAACTCACTCGGAGTTTTTCACAGGGAATTCTTAGCGGCGGCTCAGGTGGCATAATCCACTCTCCCGCCACAGGGTTCAGCCATGTCAATCTGCTTGGAACAGGCAGATGCAACACAGCCAACGGGCCAAGCCCAGCGGTCCAAGGGGCGCGAGGATCCAGGTGCAGCTGCACATACCTTCATGAGGAAGATGGCCCGGGTGGGGCTGAGGCGCAGGCCGTGGACGTGGATGACGAACTCCAAGGCGTAGTCGCAGTAGGTGGTTTGGTCCACCCCCCTGGGGAAGCCGAAAGAGGAGGCTGTTGAATGGGGATGGCATGCCACTCGGCCCTTTCCTCTCTTGCATCCCTTCTTTATTCAGCCCACACACTGGCAGTTTATTTGATCAGCGGGCAGTTGGGAGGTGAGGCTGAACCAAATGCCGCCCTCGCCGCCCCCTGCTCCTCCCCAAACTGGCAGATCCTGGGATCGAGGCCACTCCTCCCCTCCGGAGTGATAGGGTTAGCAGCGTGCTAATCACAGTAGGTTACGGGCCCAGGATGTGACTGTCGAAGAAAATGTAGAAGAAGAAGAAGAAGAAGAACAAGAAGAGATTGGATTTATACCCTGCCCTTCACTACCCAAAGGTGTCTCAGAGCGGCTTACAAACTCCTTTCCTCTCCCATCCCCACAACAGACACCCTGTGAGGTAGGTTCTCCCAGATTAGAGTCCGCGCACTTAACCACTACACCAAACTGGCAAACTGTACACCTACAGACAATCAGAAGCACCCCTCTGGCACCCCTCGGACAGAGAGCTTTCCACACTTGCAGCTGGAGAACCAGAAGGGCTGCTGTGTGCTAACCATACCTACCCCTCTCCCCTTCTTCAAATCCTCTTTCATCCACAACACCTTTCCTGGACCACCTCAGCCTTACCTTTTCTGAGCTCTGGGCTGCCGCTTTACTCCCCCCCCCCAATTCCACCCTCTCTGGGTGTTTATCACTTGCCCCCCCCCGCCTTTTTTGGCTTGTCAAGGCTATATGCCACACCCAGTCTTTTTTGGCTTGTCAAGGTTATAAGAAGCCACACTCCCAAACTAGTTTACTACCACTACCACCACTACCAGCACAACTATTGGTGCCATTATCAATAACAACAACAGACAACTATGGTGGATGCCCCGAGCCGCTGGTCCCTGTAACTACTGCCTGTCCTAGCCTCCCCTATCTGAAGCAGACCAATGGAATTAAAGCAAGAAAACTGGAATGTGCTAGCACTTTAATACTATGTTTGATTTTAACCCTGTTTTTATATTGCTGTATTTTGTTTATCAGGAAATGTATTCGTGCAATGAATTGCGCTTTATGTATCATGAGAACTTTTATTCCATTGTCAGCCGCCCTGAGCCAACCTAGGCCGGATGGGCGGGATAAAAATCAATACAATAAAAATAAAATGAGCTCCTCCAGTTTCAGCAGAATTTTACTTCCAAACGACTACGTTACTTGGAGTTGCGACCAATTTCACACAGGCAATAAAACCGCATCCGGTTTTCAGCTAGGGGCTTTTCTACATTTCCCTCACTTGCGTGTTCTTGTTGCTTCGGGGTGGTGGTGGAGGGAAGGGTGTCTGTTCCACATGACTTTTGCTCCCTCTAGTGGTAGATTTGATATTACGTGGCTTTATGTCCGGCATATCTCCCTGCAGATTTAAACAGCGGGTTTATATGCCGGACATAAAGCAATGCCATATTGACCACTAGAGGGAGCAAAAATACTTTCTTTTTTTTTTTGAGACTGCACGATGTGCTGCTTCTGCCTGACTTTCCGGACTTTGGGTGGGTGCAGAATACACGTTAAGGTGCAAAAGAGTAAGTGAAGCCGTGTACCCTGCAACCAACTGTGGCGAAGAATTAAAAGCAGGAAGGGGGGAATCATGACATTTCCTCACTTGGTTTATTCCAAGGACAGAATTCCAGCTTCTGGTTGCTCGGTGTAGATGTTCAGATACTCCCGTCCATCCCAATCCTCCCACCACCACAACCATTACCTGTTTGTCACTCTGATCACAAAGAAATATTCAGGAGCCAACATATCTCTGGGCAAGATGTCGTAACATGGGGAGTGTTCCTGGCACACCCACCTGTGGGATGAAAAAGATTATCTCTTCCTTCTGCCCCTTGTGATTCGGGGAGGAATCTTGAGTCCAAGATTTCACATTTAGAATCATAGAATCACACAATGTTAAGAGCTGGAAGGGTCCTTGCTGGAAGGGTCCTTGCAGGTCATCTAGTCCAACCCCCTGCACTCTGCGGAAGCATGGCCGAAAGATAGCCCTACGACATACCCGAAAAATGGTCATCCATCCTCTCCTTGAAAACGTCAAGCGAAGGAGCCTCCACCACCTCCTGAGGCAAACTGTCCCACTTCTCAACCACTCTTAAAGTTAGGTTCTCCTGATATTCAGCCAGTAACGACTCCCTTGTAATTTCCACCCATTAGATCTCGTCTTGCAATCCAGAGCAAGAGAGAATAGATCCGCTCCGTCTTCTACATGACAGCCCTTCAGATACTTGAAAACTGCAATCATGTCCCCTCTAAGCCTTCTCTTTCGCAGGCGAAACATACCCAACTCTTTCAGCCTTTCCTCCTAAGACTTGGGTCCCAACCCTCTCACCATCCTGGTTGCCCTCTTCTGGACACGCTTGAGCTTGTCAACATCCTTCCTAAAATATGGTGCCCAAAACGGGACACAGGACTCCAGGTGAGGCCTGACCATAGCAGAATAGAGCGGAACTACCACCTCCTGTGATCTGGACACAAGGCTTCTGTTAATGCATCCTAAGATTGCATTCACTTTCTTCGCAGTCCCATCGCACTGCAGGCTCATGTTTAGCTTGTGATCAACCAGAACACCCAGGTCCCTTTCACAGGTGCTGCTGTCAAGCCAAGTCCCTCCCATTCTATATCTGTGCCTTTGATCTTTTGTACCTAAGTGTAGGACTTTGCACTTACCTCTATTGAAATTCGTTTTATTTGTCTCAGCCCACTGCTCCAGCCTATCTAGATCATTTTGAATCCCGACTCTGTCTTCTTCAGAATTAGCAATCCCACCCAGCTTCGTGTCATCTGCAAATCTGATAAGCATCTCCTCTATGTCTTCCTCCAGGTCATTTATAAAAACACTGAACAACACCGGGCCCAGGACCGAGCCCTGCGGCACTCCACTCGAGACTTCCCTCCGCGTAGAGCCATTCACAAGCACTCATCGGGTACGATTTTTCAGGGGTTTTTTTGCTTTACTTCATTTCTGTCCCCTGTG